CTTCTTGTGTATCTTCTGCAGACGGATGTTTACTGCATTGTTTGTCAAACATCTTTCGAAAATATTATGCAGGGAAAGGTGAGGGCATATTGAGGACAAAGATTCACAATGACAGATAACAAAACAGGTAGAGGGCATGTCCTTTTCACAAGGACCTGGTGGTATTGATCATGGTTGAATATTCAGAAACTACCTTGTAGCAACATTTTAATGAACCCTAAAAATGGTTACCAGATATGTTCTTAACACATGTTTAAGTAGCTGGTTTGACTTATAGGACAACAGTTACACACACATAGCTACACATATCTGCACTCAATATTCTGTGGAAGACCTAACAATAACAATATGTTTTGTACAAAAACGTTGTCTTCTCACTGGATTTCAGTCTTTTAGGTATAGCAATAGACAATACACATGTTCAAACTAACATACTTCGGTAAACATACTGGGCGTCTGTCATTTTATAGACTAAATGATAACGACAAAATAATCTAGCCTACTTCTAATTTATAAAAATATTTCATGGCCCTGTCTTTCTTCTAATCTGACTTGCCTACAAATTTGGTTTGATGTATTTTGTGCACTCGAGATGTTTGTGTTGAGGAAAACATCCTGAGGGAAGACTCAGACTTCCTCTCTGCGCCAGCAGCTTGGATCTTCATCTCAATTCCTTTCTTAGTTTGAGGCTCTGTAAGCTGCGTGATTCTCAAGCTTTATTTAGGATTTAACTGGGATGGAAATGGTTATGACGCGGCTGTTCGTCAGCTCGCAGGGCCTGTGGGTGGGGGGGGAGGGGAGTCGACAAACAAACTGTGAGAGTTTACCAGCCCCAGTCCCCTCTGTGTTTGTAGTAATGAACTCTTACCTTGGTTTGGAAGGCTGCACTGCTGGTATCCTTGCTGTGTTTTTGTAACCCTTTGCTAAAAAAGCCTTGCTCTTAATTGTATCCCATGGGGCCCCGAGCTCTCAGTATTCACAGCCCTTCCTGTCCCTCATACTGATCCTCCCCCTCTCCCAACCTTAGCCCCATCATCCCAACTCGACAGGTCCCTCGTCTTTATTCGCTCGACTTCAAAGCGGCGTTGTGCTGCCCCTCGGGCCTGGGCTCCTCAGAGACACGGGGGCCAGCCTTCAGGGCCTGGGAAGTAGGGTGAAAGTGTGGAGGAGTACAAGGCGGCTCGTTAAGTTTGACAGGCACAGGTTAAAGAAAATAACAACAAGTAGTTCTGTTGCTGTTCCTCATCAGGGTGTCACTAGAGAGACGTTGGTGTTGTGTAATTAGAGAAGCAGGTTGAGACACTTCTCACCGTTCTTTGATGAAGGCATCTTTGTGGAGGCGAAAGATACGAGCTGCTATGCTGATTGAGGAACCTGCTATGAAGAGAGAGGCCTGGTTAATGTTTGCCGCTGACTTACCAAAGAGGTGGACACATGTCAGCTTTCATCGGCATCAAAATAGCACCCTTCAAACACGTTTCCAGGGGCTGCTTTCTTATCAGGTCTCCATATATCTCAAAGCAATTAACACAGAGAAAACGGGTGACTGCTTAACGAATTCAATCTGTATCTTTAGTGAAATAATTGTGTGCTGCAAATGAGTGAATACACTCTTCCCTGGCGTGTGGCCCAAGAGCAACACCTGTAGTGCCGAGAACAAAGAAAACAGTGGTTCATCAGCGGCCAGGGAGGAAAGAGTGATTTAATTGAATGATGCCCTCTGATCGGAGTGGGGATTGTTTCTCCATCGTGGTGTTTTATCTTTATCTCTGGTGGTTGACTCTCACTTTTCGATCAATAAATCCAGACGGGGTGAGGCGATTATTCTGCTTCAGCATTGCCCTCATTAAAGCGGCTGTTCAGGAGATATATGGCTGCAGGCAATTACCCTCTTTATCATTTATATAATATTATCCCATGATGTATATGGGCTGCTTGGAGATCTACAGGGCGAGCTGTCATCCAGATCTTTAGGTTTTTATTTTTTTTATTTGTGGTGTTTTTAAAAACGTTTGAATGAAGGCGTTTAAGGCCCCAAAGGTAAATAAATCTAAACTTTCCATTGCTTCCACAGTTCAGAGGTTTGCTTTTATAGACATTGGTGAGAAATCACAGTCAAACACAGCTGCGAGGTGTAGATGGAAGAATTGTCACTTCCTCACTTGTTTTCCTGCCCTCTTCCTGTCCCCAGAGGAAGAGTGGCTGATCAAACTCCTTGCTGTTCTCTGACCTCTGACATTTCATTCAAGGTTGACCAGCTCATTGGCAGGATATGGAGACGTATGGAGGCAAAGAGACAAACAGAAAGATAAGTCTCTAGCCAATAGTGAACAATAAGGTGGAGGTATACTTGAAATGTATGGCTGTTGCAAACTCAAAGATATACTTAAATCGGTCAGGCAAGGCACAAAAAATCGTAAAAACTGAGATAGCAGTGCACACTTTTAAAGTTAACTCATGGCGTTGCATTTGTGTAATAGAAGAAGTTGAGTGAAAAATGAGAGCTTGAGAGAGAAGTTAAAGTTCAGACGTACATAACCTTTTAAGAAAAGACTGTAAAAAGACCAACAATTCAAAATGCCATCAACCGAAACAGAGCAGCACAGCATGTCAAAGCTCTATTTGTATCTGTACTGCATACATTATAAAAGTATTAATACCTTTCTCAACAATTTTTTGTCTGAGAATCAAATAAAAAAACAAATTTAATTTTATGGCATAAATCGTTTTCACAGGCTGCTGATTTCTTAAAATCCTGCTTTGACTGTTATGTTCCATGTGATCAGAGACAGTACTCAGTATGCTCAGATCCATTCAGATTCTACCGGTGTATCAGACATATTGACGCACAGATTTGAGACTTGTGGCAGTAAAATGAGACCTAACCCGAAATGATTCATTTAGACCTGGTCCAAATTATGTCTGCTGCCCGAATGCCAAAAAAGGAAATTGTTTGAGTATTTTATTTGAAGTATAATGACTCTGCCATTCCTCTTATGCCCTTATTCGCCACTACATTTTCCTCTGCTATATCTATTGTGAATTGCACTGCAGGGGATAACTACAGTACGGTCTGTAGGAAAGCATCATTTATAATGTTGTACTGCCTTACACTCCGTATTGATGTTGGTGATGCAATAATATTGTCAGTGCCTGAAATATCTGCAGCGGGTAATCAATTAGCGGCTGCCTTGATGTTTAAATTGCCCAGAGTGCTCGTGAGCTTTAATGTCAATGACTAGTTGGCGAGAGAAATATATTTGAAAGGGAAAGCCATTCAGCAGATGTAGAGGAAACCTTTTCTCTAGTGTTGAGTTGTTCCCCGCTTTGTTGGACCCTCAGCGACCTGCCCTTTCTGCTTTCCCTCGAGGGTTCTTCCTATTGTTGTGCTTTCTCAGCCGTCTGCGCTGATCTCTATTCTCACCCCCATAACCGATTCAATGAGGCTCTGCGATCCTATTGGTGCTCCATTTTTTCTCTCCAGTGAAAGCGTTTCCATGGAAACCAAAAAATAATGCAGACCCTCACCACTGTTTCTCTTCAACAGCTAATAGCTCTCTAAACAGTTTTCAGGAGAGACACCTCTGCAACAGGCTTCAGGGTGAAATGTGACCACTCAGAACCAGATTACAGACAGAGGGATGTAGCTATCTGCTGCTGCTGCTGCTGCTGCTGCTGCTTTAATAGACTGGAACACAATGGAAAGTGATTACAGTGTTGTACTGCCTGGGGGTATGTTTACTAAACCATAAGGTGAATATTTTCAAAACGACTCTTCCTTTGAATCCCGATGCATGTGTAGCCACTGTGGAGATGTTATTGATTCCCAGAGCTTGTGCTTTGTAGCGCCTGCATCCACTGCTCTGTGATAAGGGAGTGTATCATTCCAGTGCATCTAAACCACTTCTCGGATTCGTCCGTATCCTCACTCAGGCTTTGACTGCCTTTTTGGAGATGCAATCAGAGCCTGTGTGTTGTGTATGGGGGAGGGTGTGCTGCTGCCAGTTGGGTTCAGCGTCCTGGTGAATCTGATGTCTACTGGCAATATGGTGTGTCGGCGGGATGATGTGGCCGGCTCTATCAACCAGAATACTCCTGGGATATTCTCCATCCACAGTCCCTGTCAGACTGAGAATAGCCTGTCTGAATATCACCATCTAATGTGGCTGGAGCTGCATTATGTTCATGCCTCTGTAGGCAGCTCTCACCATATTTGAGGCTTTAGTTGTCTGTGCCAGCACTTTGAATCCGGCTCCAAAGTATTGTCAGTCAAAACAGAGCTGCTGACTATTTTTACACATTGAGGCTGGAGCAGTTTAATTGGCGCTCATTGCTATTTCGTTATTTTCAGCTATAAGAGACAACCGTGGCAAAACAGTTTGGAAACAGGAAAAAGTTTAAAGCGTTTCTCCTCATTAGACACAGTCGATAGGAGACGCATCATTCATTGACAGTTTAAGACGGCAAGTAAAGAGCAAGGTATTCTTCTTTTAGTGAATTATGCATGAGTGCAGAGACTCATCAAGTTCACGCTGTATGAGGAGACTGCGGTGAGTTGGGTCTTCTAATAAAGGATAATTAACTTAGTAAGAGCATACACACGTTCAATCATCTCAAGGTAGATATTACGGTTTTACCTGCCAAGATCATCGTCTGGACTGCTGCTATTAAAGACAATACCTTTTTTTCTGTTCCTTATTCATGTTGCCTTCCAGCTGAGCGGTGAAACATTCACACATAAAACACTGAAGCAGTCTTAAATTAGCTCGCTGCAGGGAGCGAGTGCTTCATACATAATAAATGCAAACTCTGTCATTTAAAGTGTCCTAGAATTTTATTTTCTGTGGGTTTTTTTCTATCTCTCAGTCTTATTCTGCTTTAATGAATTGTGCATATTAGGACAGATGTGCCATTCCTCTGTGTCCTGTGGCCTCGCTGTTTATTCATCTCATTTGCACAGTCCTGACCTCTGCTTCTTCCATTGTGCTTCTGTCCAACAGCCCATGAAAACAGGAGAGGAGGGAGAACCGAGAGAAGTCATCAGATTCACCTGAACGGAGGCACACGCAGATACTCATGGTATTGTATTATTTTATCCAGAACTAGACACACTATTAAAGAGAAGCCATAACTTTTATCTTCAGTGTAAAGAAACACATTTCTGCTCTCAGCATCTGTAATGTGAATGATTCCCACCAAATCCAGCAGTGATGTACCCCAGCAGACACGTGTTAAATCAGCGAGAGAAACAGCAGAAAGCGCTTGTTGACAGTCTCCTTTCAGGAAGATGTCGACAGCAAAGGCGCAAAGCCATTGTTGTCGTCAACAGGAGGCGCGGAGCGGGCGAAAACCAGAGCGTAAAGCCGGTCCTGCGAAGAGGCAGACAAGTGCTTTTGTCCTTTACCCTCCACAGCAGGCCAGCACTGGTCTTTGTTGAATTCTGATTTGCATTGGCATTTGTTATATTAGTATTCCAGGCACGGCTGAGCAGCAGACATGTATAGATTGAAAGGTTAAAGGGGAGTTTAGACCCAGACACATCAGCTGTAATCAGTCATAGCACATAACCATAAAGGCAGCCAAGCAGACAAATGTGTGTTACATCTGAAAGTGACAGGTAAGATAATAACCTGAATATTTAGCCATTTGAATTTTTATAACTTGGTTTATAACAATTAAAGTCTTGTTTTTTGAGATGTTTGAATAAGATCGTATTTACCCAATGAGTTAGTAACACAACAACATGCTGAAAACACGGAGAAAGAAACTTGAACAGTCAGATGACCATATGTGTGAAACAAAGGTTAAGGAGGAAAAATAAAATGCAAGATGTTTATATATTCCCAAACGTTTAGGTATAAACATCCAACACAGTTTAAAGGCTAACATTTATTTGCTGCTCACAATTTGATTTCGATACATGTTTCTGTTTTTGGCCCCGTCGTACAAAGTTCTAATGACTTCAGAATATCATTTTTTTACAGAGTCTTCATAGTTAATATAGATTATAAAGAATTAAAGGGCCTTCTCAAGCTTTGAAACGGTAGTGAGCAAAGTTATTCACCTTAGAAAAAGCTGTTAATGAAGCTGTCAGAAGGAAATTAACATTTTTCACACAATTGCAAAGGGGCAAACTCCATATGCAAGAGTGCGTGATACAATTAAAGCCTCAGAACAACTAAATGGACCTTGTGGTGAGATGATTTGGTCAGACATAAATGAGAAGAAGATCCAACCTGTAATAAACCAAAGGAATCCTCTTAATGTCTTTGATAATTGCTTAGAGCAAGCATGGTGTTAGCCGGTTGCTCCTTAATCACACTGTCTCACAGTCATAGTTACATTAATAACCACATACATTACAAGGTGCCTCCGCTGCAGCAAATTGCAAGGCGAGATCAAAGAATGCTGCATTTTCTGCTGCTGTTCATGTTCAGGCATTAACACACTTTTGGTTTATTTCTATGGAGTTGTTATTTGCAATGGGGCCTCCAGTATATGAGGTTATCTCTTTAATCTGTGGCACAAATATTCACATGCTTGATCCTCAAGGCTTTTATTTTAATCCCTGCATTGTGCGTGTAAGAAAAATGAGGTTACACTGTTCCTTTTGCTGTTTCTCCTTTTGTTGAACTTTTGTTGACTGTATGAAGGTTCAGATTTGAGTTTTCTTTCACAAAGTCTTCATCAGAAAGTGATGAAATGACTACAGAGGGGAACTAGCTGAATTCAAACTAACATATGGCCTTGCAACAGGGTGTGAGTGATCGCTCATTAGACAAATGGCTGGCCAGGCTGTCCCCCAGTCGTAAAGTGCCCGGCCCTGCTCCCCTTTGTTTTCTAACAGGAACTACTGCTAAGTGGCGATGCCAAATACTGATCTGCAGACAAAGGCCACTCTCACCACATATCCGGGTTGCCTTGGAGACCAGAGTCCTTTTTGGAGGGCTGGAGAGTTTCCAAAATCTGCTTAAAACAACCCATGGCAGATTTCACAACATTGTGTATTGGAGCCGTCAGAAAGTCAACTCTGATTATTTTTTTATTTTATGCATATGCTTGTGTCCATTGTGCGGATTTGGTGACATTCAAGCACTTGTGTGTGTATTAAGTGATTCTGCTCATGTTTGCCCTCCTAAGTTTCCTTTTGTGTCGAGTCCCCTGAGGCTGAAAGTGCTGTCTATTTTTGTTAAATCTGACATTGTTTACTTCTGCCGAGGCCATCTGTGATGTAAACTCGCTTTATATGGAGATTTGGCAAAGACAACAGCCTTGACTAGCACGGTTTAAAACAAGGTCCGGAGAGAACACCACCAAAATTTGAATTGTCTCTTGCCTGAGGGTCCACAACACTGGACAGAGTAGAGCTGGTGAGATTATTGATTGGTTTGCAAACTTTTTGTCCAACTGGTATTGATTCAACTCCTCGTGACCCGTACATGAGAAGAGGATTCTGGCGGGAACTTGCAGAAATACAAGATTCAGGGAAATAATTATCCCTGTTGTCCTCATGGTAATTATCGAGCATTTAGTTTTGAATTGAGTTAGAGCAAATTTTTCTGGAAAGCCCCAACAGCAATATTTCATCCTCCAAGGCGTCCTGTGGGAAAAAACAGAGCTGAGATAAAGTAGGCGGTTAGGTGTTTATGTGTTCATTGTGTGCCACTACCACATGCCCTCACTGCCCGACAACCACAAGACTAAGGGCCTGAACTCAAGGGGATCAATGCATCATTGACCATGTGCCTGAGTCTGGTATTGATCCAGTCTGCGGAGCCAGTTTGTATCTACACTCAGCCAGATTGAGGTGGCAACACAATTAAGTGAGAATCTCTGCTTTGAGCGGGAACACACACACACTAGTGTTCAAAAGAAACCAAAATCTTCTCATCTCAATCACATGTCATCTGCCCGAGTTAACCAAGAAGCTATCAAGGCCCTTCCCCCCTCCACTCTGTCTTATCTAAGTGGCTGGAGAATCGATTCCAGTGTATGAGTATGAGCAACTGTTAGTACTGAGCGAACAGCTGGACGTATGCCCAGCTGGGACGTCAAGAATGTGGCCTGCAGTGCAGTTGACAACACATGGTCAGTGAGTTTCTGACTGTGCATTTGTTCAGTTCTGGGAGCCTTTTCCGTTAATCAGCCTTTTGTTCAGGAGTGTGCCAGCTGCCTGGTCAGAGGACTTCTGCTCTCGGGGGTTCGCGCAATCTCATTTCCAAACTGAATGGGTCAAGAGGGCGCCACTCTCAGGAACAGATAAGAACTGCTTTGTATTCACTGCACGTATTGCAACAATGGTCTGAAATAATAAATGGCATTGCAAGGCAGAGCAAATTCATCAGAGACTGCCTTCTTTTTTCTGTGGTGAACTAGCAATGTGCAGAAGCAGATCCTTTTTGCCAAACCTTTATATGCACTGTGAAAACTCATTAAGCTTAGCCGGTCCGAGGGTAGAGCATTTCGACGTCTGCACCAGAGCATCTAACCAACTTTAGGACATTTGACTCAAGTCTAGCAGTTCGTCCAACTTTCCAACCCGGCTGTTTTTCTGCGCTGTGCTTTCTGTGTGAGCTAAACCCACACACACTGTTCGCCCGGTCGCCTTTGAGCTACTTTCGTACACTTTGTCTTTGTGGTTGTTCACTGTTGTCTGCAAGCTGCATGCCCTCTAAAGCAGCATCGGTGCTCTAGCTGCTTAGCATTCAGTACACTTCAAAGCTCCTCGTGTGACAGCACAGCCCAGGGCTCACTCTTTCCTAATTGGAGCTTCATTAAGGGACATGGTGCGCCTCAGGGGAGCCCTGCTCTCTGCCAGAGGAGAGCAGTCTTTATTCGGATGTTGGGATGTTTACTTGCTGCGGCTGATTTAGGAAGTCATGGAGAAATATGAAAATGGGGTTTTAATTGAGATTAGGGCTGATCTGGCATGTGTGTGTTCCCTTAGTGTCATTGTCAGAGGGTATTAGCGCACCCCGGGGGGGGGAGTTTTAGAGTGGCATACAGTAGATGAAAAACACACACCTGCTCACACTGCACCAGGGTGCCAGAGGACGAAATGTGCCTCCCCTAGGGTTCAACTAGGTGATAATTTAGAGGGTCAACGGCATTTAAAAGGGTCAAGCTCCAACCCTTACACTCTCAACAGGGCCTTAATATTAATGGTTAATTTTTATGCAGGCTCACGCTCAAGATGAAGTGAACTGGCTGGTTGATGGGGGGTTGGATGGCGGCGACAGTTTGGCGAGGAGCAGACGTAGTGTCCTTGTCGTGCTGATGCATTTGTCCGGGGCGGTGGCCGGTGAAGCAGGGGAATATGGACTCACTTCATTAATCGTGTCAACTTCAAAGAGAACAACCCAAGGGTGTCCTATTTATATAAGGAGTACTCTTAATGTAGTCCTATGTCTTTCTTATCTCTTAACCACGGTGAGCTAACAGGACCATCAGGGATGATAGTGAAGACGCCGGTGAAATATACCTCTGGAGTTTAGCACAAAAACAGGCCTGTGTGAATGTGTCATAATTCCTCATATTCATACTGAGAAGAATGTAGGTCAGACGGGGTTGCCCTCATTACAGAGCTCTGGCTTCTGTCTGTACTCTGAGGATAATTTAGGATCACTTCTCATTAATCCACTATCAAACTCAACCATGCCTGGCTCCACGGCCCAAGCAGGCTGTGGATTGATGTCTGCCAAGAGTAAACAAAGGGGTCTGAGAGCCGTGTGGCCTTTCATGATGTCAGTAACAAGAGAGGCTGCAGACGTAGATGGAGTTGGCATTTACTGGATACCTCAGGGCAAAGCCTGCCTCTTAGATTGTCAGATTGAGGACATCCATACAATTTCTCGGCTAACAAACACATTGTCTGCAAATATAGCAGTGCTGTCTCCTTCACTGCTTTGTGTTTTGTTTGTTTTTAATGGTTTTCTTTTTGCTAGTCAATACAAACACAATGCCACACGACTCCTTATCTTGACACATTGCTGGCTAAGCAGAGCAGCACACCTGAGGAAGATCTGCCTATAATCTATAGCGGTAATTTGTTGATGTTGTTGTAAGACACGCAGCTCCTGGGGTGTGAACCGCGTATCCCTTGTCTACATAATGTACTCTGCAGAATATTCAGAGAGACTTAGCGGTCTGATCACTACAGCTGGCCTTTGATCGATGAGGATCAGCGATCCCGTGGGACTCATAGGGAAAGACCAGTTTGTTTACTCTGCACTTTCTCCAGGGTCTCTGTGGCAGTTTGATTTATACTTTGCTGGTTTGCACCATAGGCTTGTTATTTGGAGCTGGGAAAGGCCTGTATAGTGCTCTTCAATCTTAAGCATCCAATGCATTTTAATGTAGAAGAGAAAATTGGCTCCACATCTGACAGTTCGGTTGACCCTGTGTTGGGAGCGAAGAGCTAAAGGGTGAAGCGGGAAGAGAAATCAGACATTTTGTTTGGAGAATGAGATCTGAGCTGAGCCCTGAGAGTTTTTCCATCCAACTCTTTCCTCCCCTTCCTCCCCCTCCTTATTCCGCCTCTTCATCCCCTGCTCCAATAAATACAGTCAAACTCTTCAGAGGGGCCCAGGACTAACAGTGCAGAGCAGGAGGGCTGAGAAAGGGTCTTTTTTTATGCTTTTCCCTGTGAATATAATGTATGCAAATCTCAATTAAGACCCCCTATGCCCTCATTAGGCGTTTCAGTGGGGCTTAGGAAGGGGGGGTTAATTCAAACCCATCCCGGGCTACGAGGCTGCTGGTTGCTCTCTGAGTACCACAAGGAGGGTGATCAATACCTAAGCATATCATTATGATTTAGAGGAGGTGTTAAACCATAGCTTTAAATCAATTTCCTTGGGTCTGGGGAGGAAAGGAGGAGAGGAAAAAATAATAAGCCCTCAGGCTGGTGAGGGAGGGAAATGTTCTCATTCTACGTTAGCTCGCTCCCACAGCAGACAAAGACCGCCTTCTTCAGTATTGTTTAATTTTATTGTCACGGCAACTTACACAAGCCTACAATAAGACAAAAAACCTGTTGGCTCATATCACATTGAAATTAGATTCAGGAGGAAAAACAAACCGGTGCAAGCACACCATAATAAAAGAAAAACAGACCAGGAAAAGATATGGGTCACGACTTTCTTATTCCCACAATTGCCATGCCTCTGTGAAATTTGCAGCACGCAATGGAGCAGTTCATGTTAAATACAGTGAGAGGTGTTTCACCTAAAAATGTGAATTTCCGAGATGGTCAAGGCTGAATTACATTTGAGTGACAGTAGGGGTCCTTCAAAGACGGACAGGAATCAAAGTTTGCGTCGATCATAACCACAGCTACAGCGGCGCCTCAGAGAAGCAGAGTGCCCAGAGGAGTGACAGCACCTCACACATCGGAGAGACTGCCTGAAGATTATGAGATTACATCTGACGGACGTGCAGCAAAGCACAGACAAAAGAAGTGGACAAAAATGCATTTCGACCTTTTAGTTTTCAATTTGAGATGACAGTGTCTGGCTGCCTGGTTCCGTAAACCTATTTACAATTCCTCAGAGAAGTCGCCTTTTAATCCGCTTGTTACGCAGCCTCAATCTTGGCTATCACTATGGGAGAGCTAATTAATAATCACAACTACAAAGCAGAGAGTGTCGATTCGTTTCTGCCAAATAATTAATTTTCTTCTATCACTGAGACTGCAATTATATCCTCCCAATGGATTTTTTTTATTCTTCGGTTTTGCATATTATGTAGAGATGATTCCTTAGACAATTCCCATCCTCCCTGAGGCAAAAATCTTGTTCATTTCAAGCTCTGTAAGTTAAACAAATGCTTCAGTGAAGGCTTTGTGGTGCATCAAATATATGTAGGTATAAAGGGTCAGGGATACTGAGGCCCCCATGTTGTCTCCTAATACTGGAGAGGCGTTATTCATTAGGCAGGAGTGCCTCCAGGACGGGCCCTCATCAGGGAAAGTGTGTTTATGTCAGATAGAGGCTGGCTGATGGGAGCGCAGGGCTCCTACCTCTCATTACATTAAGTAGAAGAAGCTCCATGGTAAAGGCCATATGTTGACGGTTAATGCACATTGAGCCCCACTCAGGACTCATATCCTTAAAACGCTCTGAGATAGACAGCCCCTCGAGTCATTCTGAACCCGAGGACCCCATCTGTCCAAAGATAGGAAGTGCTGATAGGAAGTGCTGATAGCACGTTTTAAAATTACATAAGTTGTCACGGTGTGTGGAGAGATGAGTTGTCAGGTTGGGTTGACATTGTGTCGCCCAAACTTGTAGTTACTTAGGGATTGCTGAGAGACTATAGACCGTGCGCCTGAGGGGATAGAACAAGGATTTTCAGCTGAAATTGGACTAAATGAACTGACGTGTGTGTGTGTGTGTGTGTGTGTGTGTGTGTGTGTGTGTGTGTGTGTGTGTGTGTGTGTGTGTGTGTGTGTGTGTGTGTGTGTGTGTGTGTGTGTGTGTGTGTGTGTGTGTGTGTGTGTGTGTGTGTGTGTGTGTGTGTGTGTGTGTGTGTGTGTGTGTGTGTGTGTTGGAGTGGCAGAACTCATTAAACATGTGAGCAGGTTTTTGCAGAGTATTATTTTCTTGGCAGGTTCATGAATGCCTATCCAGAACGCAGCAGAATGGGAATACTGTGAGCATTTGCCAGGATTCATTAAGTGGCCTGTTTAATGTTTATGTTGTTTCTTTCAGGGGCAGGGAGAGGCTTCAGCGCGGGGGACAACCATGGAGGGGGATTGTCTGAGCTGCATCAAGTACCTCATGTTTGTCTTCAATTTCCTCATCTTTGTAAGTATTTTTCATCTCTTTCTCTGTGACTCTTAATCTGGCAATCTCTGAAGTTAGTGTCAATCTAATGATTTGAAATGGGTTTTTGGCTGCCCCCTTACTGATTGACTAATGGAGCCACATTTGCATTTCATTAAAGGGAGGCAATCTTGATTCTATCAAATTCTCTTTTGATTAGATTTTAGTGTGCTGACACACATCTGAGGCGCACCGTGCCATGAAGAGTTTGTGAGTGGCACCTGAGTTTATCAGTCCTGATCAGACAATGAAGGGTAATCCTGTTAGTCTGAGCCTGTAAAGGGGGGGAGGGTCTAAGTAAGAAGGTTTGTCTCTTTTCCTGCTTTATTAAGCGCAACCAAACCGTTTAGAGACTCTACTCAGACGCAGTTGTTCAAGGCCGGGGTAATAATGCAACCAGCAGAGCAAAGAATGAACTTGACTGTTAGAATCACTCAATAACAACCACTGTTTTGCACTGACATCCGATTGTTTCTCTCTACCGACATTAATGACACACAACAGCCTTTTATCAAACCCAATGAGCTTTCAAAATGGCTTCCGCCTCTCCTCACGCCATCACCTCTTCCTCTAATAGAAGTGGTGTTCATTTGTTGAAACCTGTGACTGGAAGGAGGGGATTGTAGTGGAAGTGTGTCAAGCTCAGATCTCTTCCACCCCCTACCTCAATACCTTCTTTCCTTAATCACATGAGTCACCCCACAGTGGCTGCAGATAGGGTTTTAGTGAAAGGGAGGATGGAGAGAATGGAGGCTGCAGTGATGTGCATTTCTTTAGCAGGTTGGGGGGTTAGTTAAAGTAGGATAGATATCTTCACCAACCCCCCACTGAGGCATTATGGCTCTGTAGATTTCTAGCCTTTTATCTGCCGTCAGCTCTCGCCCAACCTTTTAGAGATTTGCATTTCCAGCAAAAAGCACACGTTTATTTTCCATTATATGACATCTTGTTGAATGTTTTGTGTGCCACCGGGGATACCGACTGAATTCCCATCAATTTTTAAAATGCAGTCAGTTCCTGTTTTGTCTAACCCTTGTCTTCTTTCCCTTTTCTCCATTAGCTGGGGGGCTCTTTCCTCCTGGGAGTGGGAGTGTGGGTACTGGTGGACCCCACAGGGTTCAGAGAAATTGTCGCAGCGAACCCCCTATTATTCACTGGTGTCTACATCATCCTGGGCATGGGAGGCATGCTGTTCCTCCTGGGCTTCCTCGGCTGCTGTGGAGCCATCCGCGAAAACAAGTGTCTGCTCCTCTTTGTGAGTTAGCCGACAAATTCAAAACGTAGTTCTGTAACTGATCCGGTTTGTGTGCATACAGTTATTGTTGATTATTCTGTCTGTCAGTTTTGGGACTGTCAAGCCAAAAGAGCAAAATGCTTTTCTATTTGTCTTTGTGCCACAGGCCTCATACATAGTTAATGCTAAGTGAAGCGGGCACAGCCAGAATGTGATTTTGACTGACTGAATATTTCTGCCACTCATCCACTGTGTCCAACTCTCTCTTTTTTGGTTTGTCTTTTTGCAGTTCTTCATGCTCATCCTCCTCATCTTCCTAGCAGAGCTGGCTGCTGCCATCCTGGCCTTCATTTTCCGGGAGCATGTAAGTCTCCTCAGCACTCACCTCAACTTCTCTGATGTGAAAGAAACAGATATCCTCCCTGTGGTGACACTAACCTGTGCTCTCGCCGGCTATTTCCTTTAGCTGACCAGAGAGTACTTCACCAAGGAGCTGAAGAGACACTACCAGGGCTACAACAACACTGATGTCTTCACCTCAACATGGAACGCCGTCATGAATACAGTAAGGCCTCAGCACACATGGCAAACAGCTTTGTAGCTTTTACCAACTCATTGCTTTCTCCAACAGTATGTGGAAACAGGAACGTTTCAGCCTGGCCTCAAGAGGCTATATTTTATACATAAAACCCCTAGACATTTAGGTCAATATTCATGCTAGGTTGTTTTACGCATACAGTGGACCACAGGCCAGTGCACAAACAGGCACTCAGAAATAAGGGTTTCTTCTCCTCTCTTCTCCTCCCATTAGTTTGACTGCTGTGGGGTGAACAGCCCAGAGGATTTTAAGGACAGTCTGTTCAGGATGATCAACCAAAATCATATGGTGCCAGAAGCCTGCTGCCAGCGTGCCAGTCAGACCGGGGAGTTGGCCTATATCAACAAGGAGCAGTGCTTATTGGGCAATATGATGTTCCGCAATAACAAGGTAAGTTCTGACATCTACTACGACACCTTCTCTCTCGCATGTCCTCTCTCTTTCTCCCTCCTTCCAAACCACCTCCAGCCTTAATTAGAGCGGGAGACAGTCGAGGGGTGACATCCAGGGACTTTCAGACTCCTCCATTGCTGATTAGTGCTCATGGGAGACCATCTTACTATGTGTTATAGTGTGGAGACACCAGTGTATGTATGCATCTTAGCGTGTGTGTGTTTGTGTGTGTTTGTGTGCGTGTGCATATATTGGAACATTTGAATTTTCAAGAAGCGTATATGTGTGTGCAAGGATAGAGGATAATGAGTGTATGAATATGTGAAAATTAGCTGTGCTTCACAGTTGCACACATACACACCCATATCCCAGCTTCCATCTGTGTAAAGAAAGCCTTGGAGTGAAATGTAATTACAGTGGAAGCTGATAGGAAGAGGTTTTTACCACACTCTCCACCTGTTGTCTCTTTAAACCACAAGAACAATGAGAGATGTCCCACAATGTGTGTCTCTCTCTGTTCACTCACACAAAGAGCCCTCATTAGCAGGCATTGAGGCTTTGGAGCCCTGTTTCCCTCTCATTCAAACAGGCCTTTGTTCAGAGTCTCCCTCAATTAAAGCTGTGATGTTACTTTAATTGTCGCTGTAATTCTGAAAGTTTATAGCCGATTGATTTCCCTGTTGATCGTCGCTTCTTTGTGTGTCCTCAGGGCTGTTACTCTGCAGTTGTTGACTACTTCGAACTGTACATCTATGTGGCTGGAGCGCTTGCCATTGTGGTGCTGACCATTGAGGTATGAACTGAAGGTTTTTCATTTTAGTAGATTTATCACATATGCAGCCTTTTCTTTGTCTCTCCAGTGATGTGAATATTCATTTCAGAAATGAGGAATTCTGCATTAGGCTGAGGATATTTTCCTGAATATGTCGAGTGTTCTTCCAAAGCTCTTTGTATGGGAACATCTCCATCTAGTGGTGAGACTTGGTGCTACAGGAACATAGATAAGATTCTCAGTCTCAGGTTGCGGTCGGATAATCCAAAAATCAGCTCCTAACGTCTAACCCTATCGTCTATCCCTTGACCTCTGAGTGAAACGTCACGGGGTTAAGGGATAGTGGATAGGAGAATTCAAAAGGACTTAGGAGAAGAGACTGCGTGCGGTACTTTAGGGAATCCGACTGCATTTTCACTATCCAACGTGTTTATGATGCGCCAGCGGAGGTCATAAATGTGCGCCTGCTGCAGTGGGGAAACTACAGTTTTCTATACAGCGGACTACAACATGGATGTATAATAAGAAGGAGGGACTACTGTAAACTAGGGATGTGCATCTCCATCACTGAGGCCGATGCGATGCGCATCTCGATACGTTGCCACGATACGATACATTAACGATACCTTTGAAACACCAGGCGATGCGATACGATACGATTCACCCCTGTTGCGATTCAGTTCGATACGATTTGATTCAACATTATGCGATTCGGGGCGATACGACACGATGCAAAAATAATGATATTTCATTATGGTACGACAGAGGATTTTTGTTTTATTCCTTATATGCAGCAAATCATACATTAACAAAAAAGTGCTTTACATATTTGGTACTGCACATCCCATCATGCCGTTTATTTTTTTACCTTTAAAAGCTCTCCAGAGTAGAATGTGATAACACCTCACAGTTAAACAATGTAAGGATGCATTGCCCATGATTACAAATGTGCAAATAACAGCTACCATAGAGCAATGCCCATACAGCTGCCAGCCTGATGGGCTTAACACTCAGAGGCTAACTCACCAGTGAGCAGAAAGCAGTGGTTTCTATGCGAACAATAAAGAAAACAAATAACCTTTCACAAACAGGTGTTTCATAACTGCTTACATTAAGGAAGACATTTAAATTATTATTGGCCGTCACAGGCTGCTGTAAGCTAAACACCGAAACATACTCCATAGAAATAATGAATTGTCCAGATGTCGCGGTACTTATGGTTTATCTTTAGGGGAGGATCTACGCCTGAACGTATTGTGTCAAGTGAGTGCGTCGGCGTGGGGTAGGTCATGCAGCGACTACCAAACACGCGGCCGGTGATAATGATGTCTGCCAGTTGGAACTTTTTAGTAGCGTTTAACAATTGCTACAGGCTCGACGAAATTTCATGTGGTTCATCATGCTCCTGAATCGTTGCGTGTATTTCTTCCGCTGCTACCTCAGACGCCCGACTCCTTCTATTTTTTTGGACTTTCAATCTGTATACTCAATTTAGTGAGTCACTCCACAAGACANAATTTCAGGAACAGTAAGTGTTTCCAAGCTGTAGTGTTCCTCTTCTGGCTCGGGGGAGAGAAGCCAAGAAATTCCTGAGAACCTGCCCCCGAGTCTGTCCCTCAGCCAGTCACGATCTTCGGAGGTGGGCTCTCTTGTCAGCGGGTTAAATTAGTTATTGGTTTCAACAGTCACATTAAAACAGTTTACTAAATCAGCTTACTATCACCTAAGAACATATCTAGGATTAAAGACTAATGTTCACAGCAGGATTTGGAAAAACGTGTCCATGCTTTTATCTTCAGTAGACTGGACTACTGCAATGGGTGTCTTCACAGGTCTCACTAAAAAATCTATTAGAAAGCTAGCAGCTGATCAGACACGCTGCTCGAGTCCTTACCAACACTAAGAAAGTGGATCACATCGCTCCAGTTCTGAAGTCTTTACACTGGCTTCCTGTGTGTCAAAGAATACATTTCAAAATACTGCTGCTGTTTATAAAGCACTGAATGGTTTAGGACCAAAATGCATTTCTGACCTGCTAAATGATGAACCATCCAGATCTCTCAGGTCTTCAGGGACTGGTCAGCTTTCTGTCCCCAGAGTCAGAACTAAACATGGTAAAGCAGCGTACAGTTATTATGCTCCAAATATCTGGAACAAACTCCCAGAAACCTGCAGGTCCGCTGCAACTCTTACTACTTTTAAATCCAGGCTGAAGACTTTTCTTTTTGTCGCTGCTTTTAATTGAACTATTCATATCTTAGACTGCACTGTAACTTTTATCCATGTATTTTTTCTTTTAATGTTTATTTTTATTAGCTTTTCTTTTTAATGACTGATTTTAAATGCCATTTTCTTAATGTCTTTCATTTTTTGTAAAGCACTTTGAATTGCCTTGTGTTGAAAAGTGCTATATAAATAAATTTGCCTTGCCTAATAAAGATTTCATGTGACACAAACAATTGATTTGTTGATGATAATTAATGTGAATAAATTAACTCTAGTCCCTCATGCTAGCCCTGACAACACCGGTAAGCACACCTTCATCTAGGCTGCACTGTAACGTGTCCTGACTTGTGGTTCTCTCCTCTATCTAGACTCTTCTTGTCATCTTTGTAAAACGATATCAGACTGGTAATTAACACAGCCATGACTTCTAGTTAAATTCAGTGTGGCTAAAATGAAAAGCTTTGTTAAAAATATGCAAGCACGCGAAAGTCAAATTCAGCTTTATTGTCAAAAATTCGACATGTATTATACATCCAGAAATATCGAAATATCGTTTCCCACAGTGTGACATGTATACATAAAACAAAACAAAAAGGGCCTAGATAAACGTGGTATACATTAAACAAAACGGGCCTAGATAACCGGGGTATACAGTTTAAAATGTTAATATATTTAAAGTGTTCAAAGTGCAGTTTCAGTGCAAGTCAGTTGAAACGATCTTAAATTGGCGTGACGTTGAAGTCGTGCGACCCTGCTGCTGTACTGGCTTGTAGTTCGTTTATAGCATAACGTTAGCATTTCGCTTTTGGCGACTAGATTTATGATTCAAAAATTATAAAAGTAGGGTTGACATGTGGAAATCATCCGGCTGAACAAAACGTGATCCCTCTCTTAAATGTGTGTCAACCACAGACCTTATTTCGAGCTATTTTCCAAAATCCTATGGAGAATTTGCATTGGTTTTTCGCGAAGGAACCGAAAGAAGTTTACTTCCGGGTTTTACGACGCGTCACTGCGGTTCTCAGTAGTTCATCTTTATCCGGGCTCTACTACCCAGCCTGCCGTCAGCTTGAATCCTTGCGGAAGTACTGACGTGTTCACATCAGTTTCCTCGAGAAGTGGCTAGTTTAGCTAGCTGAGAGCCGGGTAGTGACACAGCGGCCGATTCAGGTGAGAAATAACTTTCATTGTATATTTTAACTTCCATTACAAACACAATTAAGAGGATCAGACATCTATTGAAACTAAAATAACATATTTCTAAACGAGTGTGTCATTCAATGAGTGTGGTTACTAAGGAACGGTGTGGTTTCTAACTGAGCTAGCTGCTAGCTGTGGAGCAATGGCAGCAAACGTAGTGCCCTATCTCCGGAAGTGAGCTGTCAGATTATCATACTCCTTGCTGGTACTTGTAGTTCAACGTATTCCTGATGAATGTAAATTGCAATGAAAATATATCATTGACGAACTACATTTTCCTTTGACAGGTTATAATAGGTGTTACGCTGGAATTGTGGGAAATGTTGTTGCATACATGCTCTTAATGGGCTAATAGGGGTAAACTGAGACTATACGAAAACTACATAACCCATACAAGCAGTAATTTGGGCCAAAGGGCAATGCACATTTTAGATGGCTAGTTAGCCATTTCTAGTCTAATTTGTTAGCTAACGCGATTGTCTTTATAATAATATCACTGAAGAAACCTTGTTAGGTTAGTGAATGATTCGTTTTTATCGTATCCATGTCATGCTTTTCACAAAGAGCGTGTTGTGATAAATATGACTTATTAGCTGCCTTCCTGACTTCCAAAAGCCTGTAAGCTAGTTATGCAGCTAATGTTAGCCACAACCACGAACAGTTTTACACGGTTTTGCGTTTTTTAAGCTAATGTTGCATGTGAAAAATAATAATTAAATGGCGTATTTAATCGATACGGCAACACAGTACAAGTTGGGAATCAAATATCTGAAACCTAAACCCAAGCTTCAAATGTTTAATGGGGCAACCGGCTAACGTTACAGACATTTCATGATCCACTCGTTACGAGGCGAATTTATCTGGGAAAAGTCCAAAGCGAAAGTAGCTAACAGATGTCACCAATTAATATATTTCAGTTTTGTAAGTAGTTATGTTGCTTATTTTTATTTAATAGAACGATTCATTGTTTTTTCTCTGTAGGCCATTCACATATTTCCGTAATCTGCATAGATATTCTTCTGATCTCTCGCACTGGTCATGTGAGCCTATCGGACAGCTGCCCACCTGGATTTACTTCATCACAGTTAGAAGAGTAAACAACAACAGAGATTGTACTCTGTACAGTTCCAAAAATCTGGGCACTGATTTCTATGGTAGTCTTACTAGATAGGTTATGTGTCGGCTCAATCGAAAAGCAGGCACAGAGTTGAGGCACAATTTAGAAAACACATACTGTACTGGTGTGTACAGACAGAAATATAAATGTCCTCTTCTGCGGTTTCATGTTTTCTTGGGCGGACTTAAAGCACAGCAGATGCTTTTTACAGTAGATATTTATATCCACCTCATGTTGTTAACTTTATGGTATTATTGACCTTTAACTGCTACAATCCCATTCATATTTACAGGCGATTATGATTTGATATGATTATGATTGCCTGAATACAATTGCTTATAGAAGGCATAGCAGTATTTCATGTTAATAATGCTATCAGTTTTATTCATTTTAGAAGCACTGCATTCTGTTTCAGATGTTACAGTTTGGGAAGGTGTCTTGTTCAAGTGGTATCCCAAATTCAGGGTAATAAGGTACTTCAAAA